CGAGCGAGCCCGGAGCAGCTCCCCTGGATGAGCTTCTCTTCTCCTCCAAACAGGTGGTTGCAAAGAGGGGCAAGGACTACATCCTGAAGCACGTCCCAAACATGCACAAGGACCAGTTCGCCCTGACGGCCTCCGAAGCCCACCTCAAGTACATCAAGGAAGCCGTCCGGCTGGACGACGTGGCCGTGCACTACTACAGGTTGTACAAGGTGAGCCCCGGCCGCGAGCCCAGGCTGGGTTTTGCATTCGGGGTTGCTTTTTGTAGAAAAGAGCAGCTACCGAGCGATTTCGATGGGGTTTTGGGAAAAGCTGCGTTTGGGAGACTCGCTGGCTGGAGCAGCGCGGTTTGGAGGGCAGTGCTTCGCTCCCAGAGGCAGTTTTTCGTAGTCCTGCCATGTTCTACGGGTTATGGAGAAGCAAGAGGTTTGCCAGGGTGCGAGGAGGCAGCCACGAGGTTTCTGGGATCTTATTTTTTTAGTATTGTCCCCCCTAAGAAGCACATGCTGGGGTTTTTTTTCTCCTGGGAACAAAGCGGTTGGTTTGTTGGGAGCTGGTGCTTCGCAAACCATTTTGTAGCATCTGTAAGTGAAAGAGGAGAAGCCGCCTGGAGAGCACAGGGTGCTGGTGTAGGAGCAGGTTGGGGTCGAGGGTAAAAACGCCCCGGCTCTGTTTCTGAAGGTCCTTCCGAGGTTTCTGAGGTTAAACTGCTTTTCCAGACCCTTAAGCTGGGGCGTTTCTGGGCGGTGAGGGAGGCAACGGGCACCTGGGGAGGTGAAACTGGGGAGGACGGTAGCGGATGCAGCTGGGCAGTGTGTGCGCATCGTTAATTAAACAGTTGGACTCGATGATCTTAAGGGTCTTTTCCAACCTAAACGACTCTTACGACTAACGTGGCACCTACCACATGCGGCTGGTGCTGCTCCGCGGGAGGTGGGGTGACGACAGGACACCGGGGATCGGCAGATTTACTCACTTCGTGGTGCAAATCGTGTATTTAAAAGCATCTTTTTTTTTTTTTTTGTCCTCCCTTAGGACAAAAGGGAGGTGGAAGCTTCCCTGACGCTGGGACTGACGACACGGGGCATTCAGATCTTCCAGGTAGGCGGCGGGGCGAGGGCGACAGCTCACCTCCCTGCCCGCTGCCGGCGTCCTCCGCTGGGCCTTCCCTTCTCTTTTTTGCAGAACCTGGATGAAGAAAAGCAACTGCTCTACGACTTCCCCTGGACCAACGTGGGGAAACTGGTGTTTGTGGTGAGTGCCGCCATCCCCCGCCACCATCCTGGGCTCCGATGTG